CGGACTTTTCGCCACATGGAATGCAATGGACCTAGATAATCTATGCTAAGACAGGAATGAATCTCTTCGGTCCTTCATAAATCAGTTCAACAAAATTGTCATAAAGATTAAAAATCTCAATCTAGCAGTGGAAATGGATACACTTAACACAACTTTGCGATAGGGTCCCATTGTTGATAACCTATGCAAAAAGGTCCCTTAAGACAGATCAAATTAAGAAGGAGGGCTAAAAAGTAAAAGCAAATGGAGGAGCTTGCAGAAAACTACAGTCAAGCAAAGTTTGAAGGTAATATGTAGCCGAGGAAGGAAAAGAAACAAGTGGCCAAAGGCTTGAGCCTTCAGGGGGGAACCACCTCATAATCCTAAGTATACACGTTACACTCCCTTGAATATGTCCCAAGCAAAGGTATTGGAATAGGCTCTAGCTTTTAAGGTTTTGATAATGTTAAAACATGCTAATAAACATCTTCAAGTCGATTCATCTAAAGCATGCCAGTACCATAGAAATTGTGGGCATTCATTCGAGGAATGCACCACACTAAGAGACAAAATTGAGGATCTCATCAAGCAAAGACACCAGTCTCTATGCATGTTTATATAATGTTTGTGCTTTGTGCAAAGGTTTATCTTTATCCTAATTAACTTGAAAGTAGTATGATGATGATGGAAAATAACTTGAGAAGGTTTTTGGATGTTTAAATCAAAATTTGAGCATTTACACAAAATAATCGAATATTCACTAATAATAATCAATTATTTTCTCTGTTTTTCATTAAACTGAAAAACCTTGTTGTAATAATCGATTATCTATAAAATAAAAAATAATCAATTATTCCAAAAAGTACTCTCTAGAATAATCAATTATCCTGTGAAATAATCGATTATTCTGTTCTTGAGTGAGTTTCAAAAACTCTAAAAACAAAATAATCAATTATCCTTAAAAATAATCAATTATCTGAGCCTGAAAACTTTATAAAAATGGTTTTCTCATTTAGAAACTCAAGCATGTGATTTTGAGTGAAAATTTGTGAATTATTTTGATCTGTGTGATCTTCTTGGAGAAATTTCTTTGTGAATCCAAGAAATAAACATCTTTGTGAAATGTTTTGAAAGATTATCATCATCGTCTACATTCTTGATAAGGGACAAAGACTTGACAGAGAATTCATCTATCTGAGTTTGGAGTTACACATGTGAATTCATTCTATAATCTTTTTGTGTTTTGTGGTAAGATACTTGAGTAGATTTGTCAAGCGTAGGAGTTCTTGTACTGGGTTATTACAAGGAGTACTTTCTTAGGTGCAAGAAATGGTCTATCTTGTATGTTGGAGTCTTTTGCATGTGTGATGTGATTGTAAAACTTCTTCATTAATATAGTGGTACCAATGGATTTTAATGGACTCTTTAAAAAATCTCGAAAATTTAGATTGAATATTACTGGATTATTTTTAAGTGACATAAATTCTTGTTTAAATACCAACATATATTTTTACTTAAAAAAAGTCTTTTAAAATTCTAAACCAATACATCTCCTTTCGAATAGTGTTACTTTAATACATCTAGCTCTGATAATATTTTAAAATAGTAAATTTGAGTCTAATTTAATTATACAAAATTAACTTATAAAGTGAGGATTATTTTTTATTTATATACTATATAATTATATAATTTATAGTTGATGTGAAACTTGAATTTTTTTCGATGTCTTTTATCACGGGTTGAACTATAAAGGACATTAATTATAAAATTGTTAATTATGAAAAGAAAGTGATTAATTTGAAAATATTATTTGGATGACGGTGTACGCGCGGTGTGGCATACGAAAGTTAATGAAGGATGACAAATTGGATGCTTGTTGGACCATTTCCAAGCTCTTCTTCTCCCGCTGCTATTCTCTCTATCATTATCTCCATATTTTTTGGCCCAAAACAAATTAATAGATAAAGTTTTTTTTAACTTGTATTTGTGCAAAACATCAATTAAAATTTCTTTTTATTGATAATTAATTTCTAATTATTCGGCAGAGTATCTTCTCTTAATTATTTTTTTCATCTATAAAATTTGAAATTAGAAACTTTACTTAAAAATATTAAGTCCAATTTTACTTGGACCAATGATTCGTAGCAGATAAAAGGCTTTTTATATACAAGTATTGTAAAATATACATATATTTATAGAAAGAAAAAAATAAACATCTAATTTTATTAACGAGTATACATTTTATTATGCAGTCCAAAGAGTATTTGATGACATAAAATATTTTTCACTTGTAATTCAATATAAAATATTATGTGTGAATAGACATTTATTTTTTTAGTAGAAATTAAAATTTTTATTAACTTTATTTTGATTAGTTGAAATTTGAGAAATAATTAAAAAAACAAAATGACAGAATTGTAATTATAAAAAATATTAATGTTTTTACGCCCCTCCTAATCCTTCTTCAAGGCCCGTCATGTCTATCTCTATACTTTTTTCTTATTCTTTAATCATTTGTATTATTATTTTTATAACCCGTAATTTACTTTTACAGCATGTGACAGGTTCTCATGGAGACAAAAGTCTCGTAAAACGAGGGATTGAAATTAATCTAAGTTTTCTTTTGTTTATAATCATATTTTTATTCGCAAATAATCTATGAACATGTTGTTGGTTACTGATCTCCGAAAAACCTTTGCTGATAAGTTGGTTAATTTCAAGTTTTTTTTCCGACAAGAAAAATGTTTCGAACACGTCCAATTTTGAAATTGTTTTTTAAAAATTTACCCGAGTTATGTAAAAAAGGCTTTAATACTCACTGAAAACAAATTGAGTGAGCATTGGATACAGTCATACAACCCTGGTGCGCATAAAATAGTGATAAAACCAGCCTATAACCACAGCAGATGAAAACCAAATTAATAACAGACTTGAGCTTTAATAACATATACTCCTTAACTAACTTGGAGGTGAAAACAAGATATATGCTCCTACTCCATCAATTCAACAAAATAAGGTTCCACACATAATCAAATAACTCATATAAGGGTTGCTTCCCTTTGAAACAGATACGACACTGCATAATCAACTATAACCTTCATCAATTACACAACCTCAATAAATTTTAAAGGACACTAACACCAATCCAAAATATAATCTGTGAGCGCCAAATTAATTTACCTACCACCCAGTAGTAGTGCCAAAGTTAGGTTGCTTGATGGAGTGAGTAAACAAATTACATAAGGACCTTAAAAGATCTTTAAAATAAATAAATAAATAAATAAGAGCAAGGTAACCCTAATTAATATACCTTTTTGGAATGTAATATAAAACACAATTAACTTAGTTATATGATAGTTGCAATATTCATATAACCGAGTTAATTATATTTTGTCACATGCATGCACCTGCACATTAGACAGCATTTATAACATATTTATTATGTTGGATCACCATACCAGAGACTAGAGTGATTGTGGTGCTAGCAAACTTGAGAATAGACCTCGTGGTCTTGTGCTGATAAGAACGGGTGATATAATATAACACCCTTTTTCTGCTAACCGTGAGAACATGGGGAACTTCTATTCTGCTATCAAATTATCAGTATCATTAAGAAAAAGCATGAGAAGCACGTAGTACGTACCGCACCAGAAAATAGAAGATACCCATGCTCTCAAAGTTAGGAGAAAATGTTACAAAGAAATTGAGGTAGCTGCTTTGAAGGAATGCTGCCTAAACATATAGGCTTAAGCATTAGGTGACAATGAAAATATGGGAAAATTCCAATCGGTACTACACATGTGTACTGCAATGCCTAGAATGAGTACGATAGTACAAAATTAATTGCTACACCACGGGAGCTTTACCTTCTTTTTTCTTTCTCAATAAACCATGACTTTCTGTATAGTCATTATTACTCTTTCTTTTGACGGTTTCAAAGTAATAAAATTATTTAATTTTTAAAATATAAGGAATCATGTTAATGGTCTTTTTAGTATTAAAAAATCTTTTTAGTTAATTTGTAAATGTTAGTAAAATATATTTATTTAAAAGTAAAATAATTGGTATTCCATATTTTAGAAAATAATAAGAATTACTCAAGAGAAAATAATACTAGATAAGCAGGTTGGTTTATTTTACTATTATGTTTTATGTTTCTAAAATTAATCAAAATGTTTTAAGTATTGCTAAAATGTTGGAGAAAGGCTATAAGGTATTGTTTGAGCACAAAAATTGTGTCATTAAAGATATAACTAACATATAAGTGATAAGTAAATGAATGACAAATAGTTTTATCTCAAATTTGATGAAAGAGGAAACTACTATAGATGAAGAGGAATAAAAAAGGAATATAAAGATGCATTTGTTTTGAAGAAACTTAATGTTTAATAAGAGAACAAAAATATCAAAAGTGTAATGTTGCTGGAGCCCACATGACACTACGAACTGATCAACAATGGAAAAATACAAAGAAATAAATTAAAGTTCAAGTTCAATGTAGATATGGTCCTACCCAAGAAAAATAGTGATAAAGGAAATTTAAAGAAGAAAGAAAACAAAAAAGTCCATATTTCAAACTTGAAATTCAAATTCGATAAACACAAATATCAAAATAAGGAGTATTGAAAATATACCTAAATTTCTTTAGTTTCAAAATGAATAATTTAATTTTTAAAAATTTATTATTTATGTTTTAAATGTTTAGAATGTTGTTTAGATAACAATAAAGATCTTTATTTTTTTTTGTCAATTCAAAAATATTATCAATTTGTTTTTAAGATTAAGATGTTGTCAAGATGCTGTCGGAATTTGATTTTTTATATATTACATTTTAACTCTATATAAACCTCAAGAATAAAAGTTTATCAAGTTTCTCTGCATAATATATATCTGCTCTAGTTTTTTTTTTTTTTTGAAAAATATTTGTCCAAAACAAAATCCTAATGCTAATTTGAAAAAAGGAAAGAAACCAATTTTATCTCTACGCAATTAATTCTATATAAAATAAAATAGAATCAATATGATAACTCTGAAGGAGGAACTCATTACTTAAAAACACCGGCCAATAGGAGTAGCTAGAGTTCCCGCAATTAATCAACACTAGCTCCTATACGAAGTTATGACTCTTTCTCCAATAATCATTTCATACACATATGGATTAGGACTTGGAGCAAACGTTTGTTCAAGATCAAGGCTGGTTCGGATGACTCTCAATTTCTTGAGCCAATTCTCTTGTCAGATTGTCAGCACGATCATCATGTCCACCAGCAAATGTATAGACCCGAAATGCAAATTGGAAGGCCCTCCAAAGCAACTTAGCATATTCTTTTCTTTTTGCATCACTAATGTTTGATCCTGATGAATCTTTTGTAGCAGCATCATTGCGCCTCTCCTGCATAGAGTTTATGCATATGCACACAATGTCAATCGTTCAAAATTATCTTAAGCATAAGGTGGTTTATTCAAAATTCATGAGTAATTGTGTTGGGTTGAAACTGTTTTCTAACCTTCAGTGCTAACTCCATGCAATTGGAGGAAACATCCACCGTTGCTTCTTTGATTTTTATAAGAATGTAGAAGTCGAATTCGATGTTGTGGCCCTTGAATTTCTTGGATTCTTCATCTTTGGTTCGCTCCAAAGAATCTAATTCTGTTTTTATCTGTAGTATGTTGCTCGTGTATGTTAGAAATGAATGTACATACATTAAATTAAAAAAGAGTTAATCACTTACATACTACCAGTATAAATTTTTTTTTACACTGGCAACCAATTATATCTTTTAATTGTGTCATATCACTGTTAAAAATAAATGTGTTTATAGTGATATGGTACAATTAAAAGATATAATTGGTTGCCAGTGTAAAATTTGTTTACACTGACAGTGTATAGTGTTGGGATACAAACAAGTCCCACATCAATAAAATAAAACAAGAAATAACAACTTATATAGTACAAACATACTTCAATGATTGAGAGGCCTTTTGACCCCAACAGTGATATCAGAGCCGCCGGTTGGATTCGGTGACAACCAATAACCCCATAACCCTCATAACTCATAACATATAATGTGATATATAAAGATAGATTCCACTACATGAAAGGTTAGGTCCCTTGTTTGAGAAGAAGATGTTGGGATACAAACAAGTCCCACATTTATAAAATAAAACAAGAAATAACAACTTATATAGTACAAACATATTTCAATGATTGAAAGGCAAGAGTTTTGCTTTAAATTTGGAGAAAGAGGAGCCAATTATAAATGAAGATACGAGTGAAGAACGCAAAGATGCATATCTTCAAAAGAAGTTTGATGATCAAGAGGAGAATGAAGATGATGAAAAACCATCTTCAAAAGAGGAGTTCAAGACAAATGCTAAAGTGGTCCCACTCAAGAAGGATTGCAACAAAAATCACAAAACGAAGAAACTGTTCAAAAAGAGAAAAGGCAGATCTTGAAATTCAAATTAGGTGATAAAGATATTCAGTCAAGGAGGAAAGTTGAGAATATGCCTAAATATATTTAGGAGAATAAATTAATTTTTTGATAAGAATATTTTATTTATATTTCAAATATTTAGATTTAATCTGTTTTTATTATTTTAGGATTTGTTTCCTTATTTTTAGAATAGGATAATATCAATATTTGATTTTGTATAACAAATTTTCTCTATAAATAGAGACTCATGAATAAAATTATATTATACTCCTCTAATAAAAATAATTTTTATAAAATATCCCCTCAAACAAATATCATAAAATAACCTCATCATTGGTATCAGAGTCACAAGTTGGCTTCGGTGACAACCAATAACCCCATAACCCTCATACCTCATAACATATAATGTGATATATAAAGATAGATTCTGCTACATGAAATGTTAGGTCCCTTGTTTGAGAGGAGGATTGTTGGGATACAAACAAGTCTCACATCGATAAAATAAAACAAGAAATAATAACTTATATAGTACAAACATACTTCAATGATTGAGAGACCTTTTGAATGATGACCAAAAGCAAAACCGTGAGGACTAAGGCCCAAAGCAGATAATATCTCATCATTATGGAGTATGTTTGTGTAATAACCTTATAAAAATAACACTCATAAAATATCCCCTCAGATAGGGGTGTTCATGGATCGGTTTTTCGAAAAATCCGAACCGAACCAAACCGAACCGTTTTATAAAAGTGGATTGGTTAACCGATCCATTTTTTATAAAGTAGATCGGTTTGGTTTTTTTAAAATATGGATTGGTTTTTTTGAAAATGGATCGGTTCGGTGTTAAGTCTCAATTTTACCTCTTTTTGGATGAGACTTATTGAACAAATTTCACTCATCCTTTGAACCATTGCAATATAATTGTTCTCTTTTTGGTTCATTTTGTGTGCAGATATAACTAACCCAAATTCATCTAACAATACCTTAATCCACCTCATTTTTTGTGCAGGTATTGAGGAAGAGTGGAAAGTTGAAGACTCTTAGGATTGGAAATCTAAGAAGCTAAGGAGCAGAGAAGAGGTTCTGCGCCGGGCGCAAGGTGATCCGCGCCAGGCGAGCAAAACAGAGTATCTCACCTCTGGGAGCCATTGCGCCGGGCGTAATGTGAATTGCGCCGGGCTTGTCCTAAGGCAGAGAGTATCTGGAAGGCCCCGCGCCGGGCGCGAAGACTTATGCGCCGGGCGCGAAACCCTAATCTGACTCCCCAAGCTCGTATTTGAAGCCATTTTCGGGGGAGAAACCCCCATTCTCACATTGGGCGCCTCCAGGAGCTGCGGAAGGGATTCCCAGGGCTTGGGATCGTCCGTGTGCGGATCTTTCCTTCGGTTCTTCACTTCCTCTTCCATCTCTATTTTGTATTTGCCCTCTTTGTTGAGTGGTTTCACCCATTTTGTGGGGTTAGATGTAGCCAACATACTCTATTGTAATCCTTACGTTTTCAATGATATATATATTTGTTGTTTCATTCATTGTTGTGTTTGTTTCTTTGCTTAATGCTTGCTTTGGATTGATCACCCTTTGCATGATTTAAGGTTCCATTGAGTATTGGGAAATACCTTTGAAATTAGTTCTGGAACATATGCCTAGTGGAGATTGTATCTAGGGATAGAGCTTGACCCATTAGTAGTCTTAAACCCTAGCCCGTAATGCGGGTGTAGGTATTGGGTACTCAAGGGATTGATATTCAATATCCGCACCTAGGCTCTTTCTCTAAGGGATTAGGTTTGAGTAAACTATTGGGTTGACTAAGCAATGAATTCAACAAGAGATTAAGGATACATTAGTGTTACGTTCGGTGAAATCTGACCCCCACAACCTCACAATACCACAATACCATTCCTTACCTTTTCCACTCACAAAACAATATTTATTTACAGCTTTCATTCCAATAGTCACAACTTTGCATTCACTGCACAAACTATGAAATTGGAATTATTCTTTAGTCACGAATAGTCAATAAATGCTTATATTACCTTCTAATCCCTGTGGATACGATATTTTTACTACTTGAACGGCCGGTATACTTGCCGTGTTTGAGACCGTTGATAGAATTAAACAAATTTACAAATATTAACAAAAGTGTTTCAACGGAATTATCAACATTCGGTACGGTGCGGTTATCCACTTTTTACTCACATATGGATCGATTTTTTTAAAAAACCAAACCGATCCACTTTGTAAAAATGGATCGGATAACTAAACCAGTTTTATAAAGTGGTTCGGTTCGGATTTTTTTTAAAATAGATCAGATTTTTCAAAATGGATCGGATCGGTTCGGATCAATTTGGATTTTTTGCACACTCCTACCCTCAGACAAATACCATAAAATAACCCCAAAATATAGATGATTAACTCATTAAAAAAACAATGCCATCATTTTTAGGGGATAATAAATCTTAAGATTATGAATCACCTTATTGAAATAACACTCAATCTTGTCAAGGAATTGACCCACTGGAGTCACTATTTTCCAATTTTGAAGCTCAGTAAGTATTGAATCCATCCTAAGATAAAGCGCGGCTGCCATTCTCATAGCTTCTAACTTCTTCGTGGGAAAACCTTCAAACCGAGATAGCACCTATAATTCATAGCAATAGAATTTATGCATCATTGTATTGAAAGAACTAGCAATATAGTAGATGGTTGTGCAATAATTCAAATGGACATGAATGGAGTTTCTAAACTCACTTGTGACTCATCAGTTAGATTCTCAAGAACGGATTCAACATCTTTATGGAACTCAATAAGTTCTGTCATATCCTTTGTCTTGAAATTGGTAATAGCGGATCTCAGTTCTATGATCTGGTTTGTGTACCTCTGGGCATCTTCTTCTATTTGTTGAAAGTAAGCTGATCTATCAAAAAGCCAAGGAAATAAAGAAAACAACAGAAAGTGGTGAGCCATTTGGTTCCAAGACTTAAAACTAACCAAAATGTATACCTTTTTGCCATCTCTGCTAGTGCATCAGCCATTCCTTGTTTGCCACTAGTTCCTGCTCCAATTGCACTTGTTCTCCCACCAGATGATTTTCCTTTGAGGCTAGATCCTTCCACTTTTCCCTTGAGAGTTCTATACAGGTTGCCTAATTGTGTTGACCTTTTCAGTTTGGTAGTTGCTTTAGGCCTCAAGGATCTTCCTGCTCCAGGTGGAGGAGGTGGTAGAGCAGCAGGAGCTCCACTTCCACGTGGCATTGGTGGTGGAGGTGCAGGAGCTGATCCAGCTTTGAATGGTACTGGTGGTGGAGGTGGTAGTACTACTGCTGAACTTGAGACCAAAGACGGCTGCGGTGATGACATTGTCATGTTTGGCTGCAACACAGGTGGTGTTAGCATTGGAGGTGGTAATGGGATAGTGCATGTTGTGGGAACGGGTGGTGGTGGAGGTGTTGGAATAGGTGTTAGTGGTGGTGACAGTGATGATGATACCGACCCTATTGCTTTTTGCTGCAGGGTTGGTGTTTCTAATGGTTTGGAAGCTACTAATAGTTTCCCCACTTCTTCCATTGCTTGAGGTCTATCATATGTTTCTCCATGATCACTAATAGTGTCCAAGTCCAAGTGAAGAACTATATCTTGTGATATGTTTTTTCCAGGACTTTTAGCTATGGGATCTATTATTTCCATGTTCATTGTTGGTTCCTTCTCTATCTTATGAGCTTCCATGTGTGGTGGTGACATGTGGTAATATAAGCGCTTTAAATCAATTGGGTTCAGTTTTCCCAGTGCTTGAATTTTGAGAGACCAAAGTGCTGTGGATCTAGAATATCCTGAGGTCATGGATTCTGGGAGGACAGATTTCGGTGTAATAGGGGAACGGCTGCCATCTGAAAAGGAGTTGGAGCTGGATAAAACTTTTCCACAGGAGTCAGATGGTGAAGTGATTTCTTTTTTTGGCTCATCCTCTTCCATGATATCAAACTTCTCATTTGCAATCTTAATCAAACAATCAAGTGTGGTCAACATAGTTTCACCTGCAGAACAAATAAATAGCGGTTAAATTCTATCAAATTCAAGTGGATCATTTGAAAGAAATTATGAATTCTGGTTAATTATTTGATTAGAAAAATGAGATTATTAATAGCATACCCCGTTTCTTCATATTGATGTTATCTTTACAAGATGGTAACTCATATTTGCTTTTTCCCAGACGATCATAGTCCATTATCCAAGACTCTCCAATAGACTTTAAAGCCTCGCAAAAGTAGGCAAGACCCTAGAGGAAAACTTTCTACATTTAGTATTCTTGGAGACAAATTTCTATATTAATCATAATTATGATAGTTTTAGTGCAACATTTTAGAACCTGATCTATGGATTTGTCCTTGATATCTGACACTATTTTGCTTGGTATGATCCCCGGGTAAAGCCTTTGAAGATCTTCCAGGGTTGTAATAACCATCTACAATATGACATATGAAAGACAGATATAAAGAAGGCGAAGAAAAGTTATTTATTTTCTTAATTTAATAGAAAGAAGTCATAAAGATAAGGGGAATGCTCCGGTGCCCTCTTATTTGAAGGGGTTTTGGTGCCCCTCAGTACAAAAGTTGGGTTTTTAGGGGCAATAAGGTAAATTGATAAATTTATCAATTTACCTTATTGCCCCTAAAAACCCAACTTTTGTACTGAGGGGCACCAAAACCCCTTCAAATAAGAGGGTACCGGAGCAATAGCCTAAAGATAAAGTACCTCACGTAAGGAAGCAGAACTATTTAGAGGAGCAAGGTCCAAGATGTCCCTGAATACAAAGATCTTCTTATGGATCTTCATCATTAAAATCAATTGGTTCGCACCAACAAATGACCACTCAACTGATTCTCCTTTCCCTTCATCCTGAGCCATAGAAGCCTTCCTGGGCGAGGTAGAGCTTTTCATTGACTGCACATATTAAACTTTCATAAGGATGCCTCTATGTATAAAAGCTGAATCTGAATAATATTTCGGATGGCTAAAACTGAAATCCCTACATTTTGTATACTATATACCCCTTTTTCTGTGACTGCATGTATGAAAAGTATTGAGTCTATGACAATATCACAATTCCGACGCTAAGCAAAATTTAAGCATTGCCCGTACCATGCCATGGAAAATACAATGACAAAACACATCAGAATTGCTTTGTCAAAAGTATCAAAATCCCAATTTCCAGATTTTGAGTTTGTTCTAAAAGGATTTAGACTGTTTTATTTGCTCATATTGCAACCCCGTGTTCAAACAAGAAAAAGGTCAGAATCTTACCTCAGAAACACATGACTTTCGTCCAAAGAAACATGGCTTCAAACCGCATAATCTCACATTAGCCATGACTTAATTGGTTTGCTTATATTGACTTGAGAATCTGGAATGATAAAAGAAACATCATGATGTGCAAACCACTACTTCACAAAGCGTGTATAAGCAAGCTGACATGTTCAGCTCAAAATGAAAACCTCTTGAAGATATTAAAAAACCATAAAACTCTATAGAATAATTTACAAGAGAATTCAAACATGAAGAAATAAAAAAATTCACAAATGAATTTTCAAATAGAGATGATAATAGAAAATGCTAGACATGCATACAAATAGGGGGTTAGACCTTACGATAGCTCAACAAATTAAATAATGTGATTCTAATGCAAATTTCTCAAAATAGAGAGCTAAGGATGAAAAATAAAAGAGACGCACCTTTCCACCCTTATGGTGTTTATGCTTTTATGTCTCCATCACAATTCACAATGGCTAACTAACGTGCAACAAATAAACTGTTAGTTCAGGAATTGTGACAAATTCAAAAACACTATAATGGTATCAATCGAGGAAATATATACTATGTGGAGAATGGCTACTTGTTATGATCAAAGCCAAGAAGATGAGTACTTTTGTTTTCCACTTACTTAATAATTAACTTCAAAAGAGAAAAAAACATAAAGTTAAATAGGAAAATAACTAGTTGTTTTTGTGTTAGCACTAAAACTGTAAAACAGAATACCAGTGCATATAGAATATGGGTGGGTTGTAACAAATTTCCTGTAACATGCTGCAGGAAGGTTTATATCATTGCTAAAAATAAGAGAATATTAAACAGCTTCAAGCCTTCAACCCTTTGAGATGATGCTGCTCTTGACATGTCACTTTGGATTTTCTATATTTAATCAACTTATAATTTCGTTCAGTTCCCACTTCTAACAACTAGTTTACATTGGTTTTGTGTTAGGTAGGTACAAAAGGTAGCTGAATTTAGTGAACGAATTAATTTTACATCTCCTACTCCCCCTCCCCCCCGGAAACTCAATTCTCCTCCTTCTATTATGAAATGAGGAATAGCACCACTTTCCTAGTGCCTACAAAAGGAATTGACTAGGTTCGAGTTAAAATATCTACATTGCTAAGCAAGTTGTTCATCCAATTATCATATATTTATATACTACTAAATATAGTTAATTTTTTTTATATAATTAAGAGGTATAACTCTATTACTGGATCGGCCCGTATTAGGACCAAAATGATATTTCTAATCGCAACTTCATACTTAAGACAGAGATCAAACTGTAACTCTTGGTTAAGGAACACATATGTCAAATTACTTATGCTAACAATTTTTGGTTACTAAACACATCATGTAAAAGAAGTTTAAATTTATATACTATAAATTTTCAAATATATCCTAGAGGGTACATCTTTTATACGCTACAAAGTACAAATCTACAATATTTTCTTATAACAGATCACATTCTCCTCTTATTTAATGATCAATTTTTAATTTATGATTTTACTTAATTTTATTTTTTTTGTCACAATCTACTCTACGATTATTTATCTTTTAAATCCTTATCCTTTAATTATTATTGACACTTTAATTTAAATTTAAATTGATGATAATCATCATGCTAAATGATATTTCTTAGTTTTAATTTTAATGAATTTGTGTTAGTTGATTTTTTTACTTACCACAACCCCTCTTTTGTTGTGTATTTTCTTTTAATACTTTCTAATTATTTTTTTAATCTTTTAATTAATTTAATTGATTATTTTCTTTCAATCACTACAATCTCTTTATATATATATTTTTATGATTATTTATCCTTTAAATTCATTGGTCTTTAATTATTATTAATCATATAATTTGAATTTAAATTGGTGACTATTGGTTTTCTCTTGATTTTAATTTCTTTTAATTATCTGTACCCAAAAAAAAATCTTTTAATTATTTACTTTTAAATTTAATTATTTTGTCTTGGTTGATATCTTTTATTTACCCCGATTTCTCATCATTTAGGTATGTTTATGTTTCTATACCCATTTCTATCAAATTTTGGACCCAACTTTCGACACATCCACCACATCATAGGATTTAAGTAAGAAGACTAAAAATGATTTTTAAAAAATTAAAATAAATGAGAAATAAAAAAAATCTATATTTTCAAACTACAATTATGCTTTAATTATACAAATATGAAAACTTAAGGATAAGGAATTAAATAGAGACCTAATAATAACCTTTTCAAACTAATAAAAATAAAAAATAAAAATAAAAACAAAGATGAAAGAAGATAATGAGTTTACAAGAGTAAAAAAAAGAAAAAGAACATCAATGAAAACCCCAAAAAATTAGGATTTATTGCATAAAAACAAAAATGCTATTTCTTAAGTGAAAAAAATGGGGAAAAAAACAATCAAATGGATCAAATGTTGAAAATTACATAGGAAAAAAATAAATAGAACTTACCTTGTGTTTCTATAGAAGTCATTAACTCAAAAATGATTTGACAGTTTACTATAACTATAAACTAGACTTCAACCTATCCTTTTGAGAGAGAAAAAAAATATCGAGAAAAAGTGATTTGACGATGTATTTTAACTATGAACTAGACTTCAATCTATTTTGTGTGCATAGAGTTATGTTTCCTTATGAAAAAATAAACTAGATATTTTAGAAAAACAATACCTTCACTTTCAGTTTCAACCTGGATCGTAATAAACCCGATAACTTCTTTTTTTTTTAGTAACCAGGATCATAATTTGTTGTATGAATTGTATCCATATTTGACATGTTGAATGAGAGGAAGAATCCTCGGGCGAATGCTTATAATCTGATTGCAATGGAATATGAAAAGTTGAGGATGATGAAGATTTAAGCGGAAACAAATCCTCTTCCTATCGATTGATTTTCGATTGCAGTTATAGAGTAGCTTCTTACCTTCTTGCACTTCAATATAAATGAATATTAATTGAAAGAGTAAAAGATGTTCCTACACTCTGATACCATGTTAAGAGTAATAATTCTGAAGAATGCAGACAAGATTAAACTGTATATTAGGGTAATTTTGCAGAATGCAGAGAAGGTAAAATTGTTGAGTCTGAATCATTGCATTCAACACATTGTAGAAAGAAGTTCTGAATTTTTCTCTTGTTTCTCTTTCTGTTCCCTTGTGGTAGTAATAGTATAACTGATAATGGAATCAGAACAGAAAACAATATTCGTGGTTATTTGTAGAAAAATAAAACTGTTTATAAAGGTTTCATATATTACATAGTACAAAGAATGTTGGGATGTACAATCCACCCAACCTTTTAAACTTCAAATATTTATTTATCCAACAAAACCTATTACAAGATTTTTCCTACAACTGATAAAGAATCTATTGATATACAACCGTGAAACAAAACAAAATATTCTGAGAGATTATAAGATTGAATACATGCAATAACTTACATTTTATAGAAAACAAAACTATTCATTTCAACAGTTGTTTAAATACACTTTACCATGCGACTTATAAAATCTGAATCCACATTGAACTGACAAGGCTTGCTAAATTCCCCTGACCTTGGCAGAACTGATTCTGTTGGTCTCTTTTATGGGTTGAGTCTTATTCTTGTCACTCTTAGCAGAAATCCCTGTTGTTTTACCTTCTATTTGGTCTTTCCTAGGCGCAGCTCGAGCAAGACCAGAGGATGCAGTTCTTTCGGCAATTCTCCTTTGACGTTCAATCCGCAATTCTTCCATCTTCTTCCTCATCTCATCTTCCTGTTTACCATCGTACACACCATTAGGAGTTATGATTAATACATGCTATGTGAAATGCGTACACAAAGCCTCTTCAAAATATAACAATGCAACTGAAAAATTGAAAGATCAGTGTACCTGTTCCCTTTTGCTCTTCTGAACTATAGGCCTACTTGGGATAGATGGCTTTCTGGCCCTAGACATGATTTCAGGTTTGCCCTTTCCAGAAGTTCCACGCAAGGCTTTTGACTTTTCTTCCTTTTCAGAAGTTGTTCGAGAAACTTTGCTTTTGCTCGCATTGGTTTTCACAGGACTAACCGGAAGGTTGTTATTCACATTGTCACGTGAATCATCAATTGAGGATCTTCTACCAGTTTCTGAGAAGGAAAAATCAATTACATAGTCCATTGATCGCGAGGCATCAACAGAATCCAATCCAGAATCCCGTTGTAGAACTACAAAGAGGTCATTTGGCTCTTGGTACTTCGATATTGCATGCTTCTCGTTTGAAGCAACTGCATCATCACTTTCAAGCTTGTTGGCAGCAGTTAGATCTGCAACCATACTTATGTCCGTCTTCCATTGTGAGTCAGAAAGATCATTATCTAACAATTGACCCTGAATCATGAAGGAATCATCAATGAGAGTTCCTTCACTTCTTTTTTCAACGTGACCATTCACTGATGATGAAGTGTAATCACCATCAAAAACTGCAGGCACAATTGCGGGGTCAGAGCTCCTCATCTTTTCCAAATTATCAACAATAAACCAATCATCTGATGTTCTGCCCTTCGTTTCTAACGAGTCAGCAACAAAAGTAGATAATGGATCACCAAGTTCATTCCCTGGTTCTTTTGATCTATGTGATAAAAGCATTTCTTCACCTATATTTTGCCTGCTCTTTGTAACTGGACCACAGTTGTCTACATACTCATCCAGCTTCGATCCACCTTCATTTCCTCCATCTCTTTGATTCACAATAAACGAGTCATTTGGAACTTTAGGATTCTTCAGAACTTCTTTGAAATCCAAGTTTGGAGATGAACTAGCAGCGTATGGCATTCTTTCTTCAGAGCTTCTCACCACAAAATGTTCATCCTGGACATCAATTGACTGCATCCTTTCTGGTGCATCAGTTCCAGTCCCCTCATCTATCTTCAAAAGATTTTGAAATGCATCCCAGTTGTCATTTTTGTTTCCTCCTTCGGATGCATTACTCAAGTTTTCAGCGAGATCCTCTTCGGTCTCCTCACTTGATTTAGTTGCATTGCGCCTGGTCACTGATTTTTTACCATTAGCACGTTTTTCACCTTTGTGAACCTTCTGCAAAGATTCAAGTGCAACACCAACCTTTTGTTTGATGGTTTCTTCATCAATGACATCATCATCTTCTGAAGATTCATCAGACACTCCACCCTCATTTCCACTTCTCCTTTTTGGAGTGATGTAGTTGATATTACGAATCACAACTGTTCCAGATGACTTTCTTCGGTGCTTTTTCCTCTTCAGATTATCTTTCAAAGAATGATTGGAGTGATTTTGTTTATCTGAATTAGGTTCGCTCTCAGAATCAGGATCACTGGACTCTGTCTTCTGGTCTTCATATTCTTCCGATCCTTTCTTATAAGGAGATTTCTCTTTTTTGGTTGCTGATGGTTTCTGATTCACTCCCAGATCAGAAGGCCATTGCATATTTCTTAGAAGATGAGGAGGAACAGACTGCATATTAGTCAAAGGATATCCTTGGTATGAAGGCATATACATATATGGAGGTACATTGTAAGGCCAGGGCATTGGCGTAGGCAAGTTCACATCTGCGCATGACATTCCTTGATATTAAATAAACATCGTATGGCTTATAGAAGCAAAATTGATATCTATACTATCTCTTTAATATAGCTTTAATTACATCAAACAGACATCATTAAGGTATGCAGATTTCTGATTTTCTAAACAACAATGTTATTAAGTATGAAAACAAACATGCAAAAAATTTATGCACAATGAAACTGGCTTTATTTTGAGAAAGTGTAATGAGGTTTTGACTAGAAATTTGAACTGCTCTATTGAATTTGTTCATAGACAAACCAATTTAGTCGCTTTAGCTAGAGAGTCTAGATTTTATACAAGTCTGTATGTTCATGAGTTCATACCTTCTTATCCTGAATCTATTATTATGAATGAATGCATATGATTTGCTTTGTCCTCAAAAAAAAAAACAAAAAAAAAAGTAGCACAAAACACATCAATTTTAAATACTGACCAATGATATTTTTTCAAGTAAATATTAATTAAAAATTATGAAAATATATAAATATATTTTAATGAAAATCAACCCATTCTTCCTTTAATATGAAAACACTTTTGTACCAAATAGTATTTTCCTTTAAAAGTGCTGATTTATACTGCATTTTGAATGTTGTTTAAGACCATAATCATTCATTTTTTATGCCTTTTGTGGAAAAAGGAGTTGCATCCAAACTCCAAGCCTCAAACTCTTTCACCCAATAGGTGGAAGGGGGGGTTAGGGCTAGAAATTAAAAAACAATAATATGCAATCATCTAATAGTTTAAACTTCAGTATGAAAATTGTTCCTTGAAATTAACTAAATACAGAGTTGCAAGGTCTTTTCAGATTTCAATCTCTCTAAACTAGAAGATCCACAAAACCATTCTTATCATTTCTTATTTTTGTTCTCTTTACTTCCTGGACTTCTATTTCCCTGACATTAACTTATTTGAATTATTCAAACAATTTTTAGCCATTTAACAGGTTGATTTAGACTAAAATTTGTAGGTTGTGGGTCAAACCAAAGTTTACAGAATAAAAATATAGAAATAGAAATAAAAAAACTAAAAATGTTTGTTGCTTAACCGATGATTATCGACTTTTATATTCAGTGATCTGATTTTGATGCCAAAGGTTTCTATAATTTTCTGAAGACATGATATAATTGAGGTAAATGAAAAGGAAGAAAGGGTAAAAAAAATACCTTCTTTTTTGTTTAAAGTGGCAGAATTTGATGTTTCCAGAGATACATTTTCATCACCCGAAGCAATGCTGTCCTTAGAGCTATTGTTTTTGTTATTCTGGTCATGGGTGGTTATATCATTTGCCAGTATAATTCCTGATGATCCAGACAATGAGAGTGCTGGTGGTAAGCTTGACTGCATAGCAGCTACTTCTTTTATCCAAAGATCATCTGCATGCTTTTTGTTCCATAATTCCTTAAAATTAATGCAGGCTTCCCTACATACATTGAATATCAAGACTTAGAATTGGTTTAAAAGCTATAAAGGTTTTATGTCAATGAGACAAGATCCACCGGTCCACAACTATGGAATGCAAGTTTTTAATGATGTAGCAGATCTCATTGTGAAAAGCAGTTATGTTCTGTAGAAAATTCTCCCTAATATGATAAGCTGATGTCCGGCATAGTAAGTTTGAGATGCAGGATGACATCAGAGTTTAAAGGAAACTACAAAAACCACAAGAATAGTTTCTCGTTTCTCAATGATCCTTAGAATAGCAAGGAATGAGAGAACTGACATCAAAAGGCAGTTGAACCTCCATAGCAAAAAGAGGGATCCCCTTAGACAGTGAAATTTCACGATCTACAAAGTAGGGTCAATTGTCAAAATAATTTGAAGTCAGGAAAAGCAAGGGAAAGTTTTTCTGAGGAAAATAAATTTATTTTCCAAAAACTGGCCATATAGAATTTTTTTTTTCTCTCTATTTTAAATCCATAGTGTTTGGATTAAATAGTATTGACATGAGTAAGAATAGAGGACAGTTTCCATTTTACCGTTTATAATTAGTTAGTTGTATCTTTCCGGTTCATACCTTAAACGGACTGCTCCAAATGCATTTGCAAAGTATATGAGATCATCGATGCTATCAATTTCGAATCCAGCTACAAGACCACGCGTATAAGCCATTGCTTGCTCCTTCCGGAGTAGTGCTATTCGAGATTCCAACAGTCGGTGCAGGGAAACCCTTATGATTACAGCAATTGAAAGTGTTAGGAAATGTTTTTAATGAACTAGCAAAACAAAATAAATTACATTTCATCAACAGCAACCATTGAAGAGGGGAGAAAGTTACTTTGAGTTTTCCTCTTCTTTATTGTCAACACCTTCAAGTGTATCATTTAACTGAAGCAAACACAATGTAAATTAAGAAAAAATGGAAAGATTATTAAGTAATTCTAACATTTCTTTTAAGAAATTAAATACCTTCGCAGAATCACTTAACCTCATTGTGTTGCCATTGGTTTGTGGCATGATTCCTGATACACAACGGAATTTTAGTAGAAAACTAGCTTTACTTGAGCAACTCATGATTAGGTGAAGAAATAACATGCACAATATCACTTCTTTGAATCATGGTTGTATCATTGTATGACTTAATAAGTACTCCTATATTGGTACTTAATTCTAGCACCTAACACTAAGTAACTTATATAGCAATATCCATAAAACGTGTTTCAATTCAGCTCCTAACAGTACCTTCATCCGGACTTGCAATGGACAATGATAAAGTATTAGCTTGAAAGGAACTTTCGATCTGACGAATTTCGTTTTCAATGGTTACAAACCTCTCCAGAATAGCCGGTGTGCTGACAAAGCGCACAAATCTGTAGAATTTACCCACACCCCAAAATCAAAAGAGAAGAGAGAAGACAAAAAATGAAGAGAGCAAAATCAGCTTCATAAATCTTAAATTGGATGAATGTTGGAGCAGGGGAAAAAATTACAGAAGATCCTAAGTTTTTGATAACTTCCACAGCTTCCTTCTTCTGTTCTCAGTTCTCACCTTTAATGGAATCCTAGTTTTCAACCACCCCCACCCCCACAAAAAACCATTATTCTCTAAATCTATAAAACCACGTAAACTAAATCCATAATTAAATCATGAGCTATCATTCAAGTGCAGGAATTTGTGAATCAATCCACAGATTTGGCACTGCCATGTACTTTAATTAAAGAAATTGATGGGCTATAAAATAATCATTAGTAGGGACAAAAAAAAAAAGCAATCTCCAAAGCAATGTCTTTGGATGTAAGAACTACTACTCAAATAATTGTCATCACACACCCTAAGACATGATTAAAAAAAAGTCACATGCTTTATACCAATTGTGTGAAAAAATTTAGAAAGTTCTTTAGATACCATTCCCATTACAATATCTACGCATCATATGCTTTAATTATCGAGGTTATTGATTCACTGGGTCTCCAAATCTGATTGGAAAACATTAAGAAAGTTCTTGAGATGGAAGAATAACCATTAAGATGCCAAAAGGAAAAGGTAAAATTGGGCAAAAGTAGCAATGAATGACCTCTCAAACGTGGCTTTGGTGAACCAGAAGGAAGCGTTGGTTGGAGGCAGAAGCTTAATTGAGTATCCACCTTTGGAGATCTCATCTTTGACGAATTTGAGATGAGAAAGGAAAGGCTCAAACAACCCAGAAGCTATTTTCTGATGAACACCCCCACGAAAGACTAAAAGCTCACATCTTCAAAAGCAAAACCATGAACCACATAGTTAAAACAAAGCAAAAGATTGTAACCCATCAAAGAGTTTTTCAGCGAAGGGTAAAGAGAAAGACTCTCACTCACCTTGTCCTGGTTGGAGTGAGTTGAAACAAAGCATAATCCAAAACTGCCTTGGAATCCATGTCAACCGAGGAGAGGGTCTGTCAGAGAATAAGGGAATGCTTATAATTGCTTGGTGAAGTGAAGTAGTTAATGTGGCGGTGAAATAAGTGAAAGTGAATATGATGTTATGTGAGAGAAAAAAAGAGCCAGCATGGAAATGCAGCATCGCACATGGAGTGTGAAGTGGGGAATTATTATTTTAGGATTTCAACGCCCTGGCCACATGCAATAGCGACACCTTCTGCTTTGTCTGCGTATCTATTATCTAACATCTTCTTTACACTTTTCACTCACATCAAATGTGAGTAAGATCTCGTGTTAATGACGGCAGGTGAAACACTGATTATGGGGTTGCTTTTGCAGTTTTGCTCGTGTGTTTCTTTATTATACTATTACTGTGGATGTCAAGTGTTGTGTTGTTTAACATTAATCTTGGTATCCTATTTGAGGTATTGTTGTTGATTGGACTATCACAGTTTTTTCTTAAGAAAAGAGGGTGTTTTTTTTTTACGCATCGAACTCGATTAAAATTTTACGTAATAATTGGAGTCTAGTTTTCATGGATTTATCAACAGTGCCTTTGTTTTGGCTTGTAAAATTTGGGAGACACATAGATCCGCGAGTAAGTTAGTAAAAGATTATGATTGGATAAAAGACATTATTGGAAGCTTTCTCCGCTGTTTGAGGTGGGTCACGTTTGGTCTTGCAAAAGAGGGTCATTAATTATCGAGTTGGAGAAAGAATCTGTTCATTAGAGGAGTTCCAATATGAAATGGATTTCTCCGCTAAGCCATTGGTGTCTGCATTTAGTATTTTAAGGGGACAATTGATTGATTCAGTTGAGATTTTTATATGATTGAGCTAATAAACTAACACTTGCCAAAGGACCATTGAAAGTAATATACAACACTACAATTTATTTTATCTTGTAAAGAGAGAACAAGAGATTGAATGAATAAAAAAAAGAAAGTTTTATTTTATATTTTTTCAGTACAAGTGGTGCTAATTGCTAGTTACTATAGCTCTATCATTCAATAATTTCTTATTGATTTGATGAGTTGATTTAACTTAATTAGTTTTTAAATAGTCTCCTCTCACCTTAAATCTTTTTCCTTGTTAAAAAAAACATTACAATATCATTATATTTATGGAAGATTATTTATAGTACTATGTCATGTAACTGGAAGAAAAAAAATAACATGATAGTTATTATATATATATATATATATATAGGGAGCATATCAAGTGAGAGAAAATTTATTATGAGAGATGAGAGGGTTAAAGTATAACCGTTAGATTAATTTCCTCTCATTTGATTAAATCCCAAATTTTCTCTCACTTGATTAATCTAAAGGTTATATTTTAACTCTCTCATCTCTCATAATAAATTCTTTCTCACTTGATATGTTCCCTATATATATATATAATTAGCATGTCTATGGGCTTATATAAAATAGGGTTAATTTTTCAAGCCGATCGAATTATGACTCAATTATAGCTTAACTAATGATGATCAAATCAAAATGAAATTAAGTCGAAATGTGTAATTTAGGGTAATCAGTATAGTTAAGTTAAACATAATAAGAATAAAAAATAAAATGAAGTATTTGGAGTTTTACTGAATGGTGTGGAATATAATAAAGAGTTTAGTTGAATAGAATAAAGAGATGGATCTGAAGTCAACTATGAAATAGCTATAAGATTCACTTTAGCTAGAAAAACTAACAGCTTCTAAAACAAGGCGACAAAAATGTTTTATGCAACTTTACCATGTTCTTCATGTTTTTTCGATACTTATCTATCATTCTTATCTACATTAATATTTATAAAGAATGCAATTAATAAATTATAGTAGAATCTTTACTCATGATTATTATTATTTATTTATTAGACCTAAACTTAATATTTTATTTTTAAAAATAGTGTGGAACCAATAATTTAAAAATTTATTCTATTTCGACCAATAAATATATTGTTCTATTTATACACACATTTCAATATAAAATATTTATAATTAACATCAATTTAAATACATATATTAATCATGTTGGACGGTTTAAAATTATTAACAACCTCTTATTTTTATGTGGATGAATATTGAAACGTGCACTTACATACGCACATTACATTATGCGCAAAATGCAATTTTTGCTTTATTTCCAATAATTAGACTAGAAATGCCCGTCTTAATACAAAAGTAGATGGTTCCAGAAAATTGTACTGACTAATGAAAGAAAACCAGCAAAATGACAAAAAAAAAAAAAAAAAAAGGGGGGGCCATGTAATTTTTAAAAATTTAATAAATGTTAGTATTTTCCGGTGAGAAGATGTTCTCTTATTATAAAACGAATATTCTTGTGTATTTGCCAAACTTGTTTGGTTGGATATGGAGTTTTAACTTTTTAAAATTCTTACCCAATATTAATGAATTAGAAGATAGCGGAAGATAGAGGATTTACTGTGGTATATATCACCCCAATTTTTTATCCCATAGACCAAAAAAAAATGTCCAATTTTTTATCGATCAATAAGTAACATAGTAGAAACATTAAAAAAAATTTTTTTTTTTAAAGTGTGTAATGACACTCACATAATAGTAATATAATATTATTAAAAATTATTTTTATCTATTTTATAAGTATAATGTGTATTAGAATATCGTTAAAATATATATATAAATTATAATTACACATAATATATGTTATTAAATTTCATTCAAAATTAATATTAAAATTATGTGTAATTATATGTCAAATATATTTATATTTATATATATTATATCTATAGTGACATTTTTATATATCATTATATCTATCATTTCTTATAATAAAAGTATGATTGTCATTTTAACATTATTTGGTTGGCTATTTAGTATTTATTAATAAGTATTAATTAAATGAATTAATTGTTGATAAGATTAATGTTACAAATTAGAAAGTTAAGGACCAAAAATCGGAAGTTCAAATGGTTCACTGTACTCTTTAGCCAATGATTAATGTTCGATTTCTGGCTTAAGCATAAAATCATAACAAGAAGTATCATTTTGCTTTGATAAAAATGATTCGATGGGAAAAAAGTTATATTTCCTTAATAGGTAAAAAAAATAGAAAGTTAGGAAAAAAAAAAACTTAACTATTAAATAACACAAAGATTCGATAATGAAATAAGATTTAGATGAAAAAGTAGTTCAATATTTTTCAACACTTAAAGTTTATTTGGATACAAACTAGAAGCATTTTTGAAAACTTCTTTACTAAAAAAATAATATTTTCAATAAAAAAATTCTCAAAAATATTTTTAAACTTGAATCCAAACATGCCTTTAAAATCTTTTGAAATAAATACACTAATGTAAACTAGCCTCTCTTCCTTGGTAATTAGTTCTTTATTCGTTAAACAATAACCTAAATTTTTTATACCCGTTTACTTAACAACCATGCATTTGGTTTGAGATTCACGAAGATACAGACAACATGCTTCTATTATTTTAATCATTGAATTATATTGAATAATTATTCCAATTTAAATTTATTATTAACTAAATTTTATTAGAAGTTGTAAAATGATGCGGATATTATTTTCATTTAATGAGTAATTCTTCATACTTTGATATTTTTTTAATAAACTATAATTAATAGTAATAAAAAAAATATTGTAGAATGTAGTTAAAGATGAATTATTTTCGAAACAAGAAAAGAAATTTAAACAAGGAATTATTGTCGAATAAATATATCACTCACATTTCTTGTAGACTGTAGTTACAGAATTAACACCCAAAAGGGGCATAAATTGTAATTCATATTCTGGACACTAATGCAAAGAACTTCAACTCAGCCCATTGAGCAACTGAAATGGGCTTCCAAATTGTCCACTTAAATTATTGTGGACCTTTAAATATATGTTGCATAGTGGACTCAAAAGAAAAAGTGTTGAATGGGCTCGTATAACTGGGAGCGTGAAGGAATTTAAAAGAAGGGGATTTTGTGGATAAAAAAAGGGGGGAAAAGCTAGAAGTAAATTGTTTATTATGATTTATGATAAGGGCGGTCAACACATAGTTAAGTTTAAAGTAAATCTTAAAATAATATATTTAAAAATAAATTAATAATAATATATTTTGATAAAAAAATAAAAATATTTTAGAGACAAGTCTTGAAAAATTAATTATATTTATATACTTTTTAAAGATACTCCTTTTAAAATGAGCTTTTAAAAATATAAAAAGTGATTGTTAAATTATAAATCTCAAAAAATTATAAATATGAATATAAATATTTTTTTAAAAAAAATTAAAATAAGAGCTTTTGTATTGTTTTTGCTTGAACCAAACCTGATTATGATGGTCTTCTCGAGAATAGCTTTCAAGGAAGTTATTTGCTTATAGTAAAATTAAGCTTCTTGATTATGGGTATTGTATTTTTTTTAAAGAAAAAAAAAGTTAATGTGTGGTTCACCTAATCAAGCAAGACTTTCAAGAAGTACGATTTGGTATGGAGAGTTTAAGGTGAAGTTAGGGGAGATTTAGCCTAAGAAAAGTTATTAGCAAATTGGGATCGATCTTTTAGGGTCACTTGTAGTTTGAACAATGAAGTATATAAGTTTAAATACCTGTCCAGTCAATAGATCTTATGGACTTGGAATGTGTCTCGTCTTAAATTTAATTATA